GATGTTGACTTTATTATATGAGAAGTGACTTTTTTAACCACATACAGAGAGCAGAATTAAGGCTTGAGACTGTTCAAAGATTTGTTCTATTAAATGTTAGAATAAGGCCTGAAAGTTCACCTCAACACATTGGTGGAGAAGTCCATAGGGACTTGTCTTGGCAACTGGAAGGTCACCAGTTCAAGTCCCGGAAAGACCAAGTGCTACCGAGGTGTCCCTGAGCAAGGCACCGTTCCCTACACTGCTCCCCGGGCGCCGTACATAATGGCAGCCCACTGCTCCTAACACTAGGATGGGTCAAGGGGAGGCGTGTGGCGCAGTGGATAGAGACTTGGTGTTGGGATCAGGTTCAAACCCCACTGCAGTCAGCATGTCGTTGTGTCCCTGAAGACACTTCACCCCAAATTGCTCCTGTGGGGATTGTCCACAGTATTGAGTATGTAAGTCGCTTTGGATAAAAGCATCTAACAAGTAACATGTAATGTAATAATGTCAAATGCAGAGAAACCATTTTGTTACATAGTACCTGTACTACGTAATGACAATAAGTTGAATCTTAAATCTTATGGTGACTGCTTTGTTGTGTTGAAATATATGTTAATTATTATGTATGATTTTCAAAAGACAATATTAAAAGAGGGAAAGTTTTGAATGTTGCTTTGTGAAGTCGAGTGGCATTTCAGCATTTGCTTCTGTAGGCAGTGTAGTGCCAACATTTTCTACTTTTTGATCAAACATGGCTACATTTTTCTTTCCCAGAATGCACTACAAAGAGTCGTCCAGCTACTGCCAACCACAAGCACCAGACAAAGGTCATGATTACTTTATACCTTATAATTAATAAACGATAACACATTGTTGTAATCATCATGGTCACCTTTGCCTTATCATTTGTTATTTTGCAAGACTTTATCAACAATCAAGGGGACTTTTTTCTCCGAGCCCCTTCAGGTTTAATTAATACCATGGCATTCACTGACCCCCCGCCCCCTCACTGAACCTCTGCATGCAGCACGGAGGGGGCTCGAAGCAGCTCAGTTTGGTTCGGGAGGAGCTGTGGGCTTTAATTAAACTGCTGCTGCTTTGCTGTAATCATCAAGGGGCAACAAGGTGGAATGGCAGCTAATGAATGTGTCCAGACTGAAGAGCCAAACACACTTACTGTAACATGCAAGTGGATCAATGGATACTGAGAGTAGGGTTTGCACAGAGACACTGATACCATGCAGACTGGGAAGATTTGAATGCCCGGAACAAAAAATAAAGACATTTGGTCAAATATTATCTGTGTTTATTGTTGAGTTTTACACAAACAATTTTTAAGAACGCTATTTAAAGAAGAAACTCAAAGTAGACAACTTCAAACAAAACAAGTCCTCTTCACAGACTTGCTTATTGCAGCAATATGATAATTATGATGCAAAATGTCCCCTTATTTCAGGCCTAAAAAATGTCGGATAAAATAAAATGGAATAAAACCATTGTAAATAAACCAAAATACACATCTGGCTTATTACATTTTAATCAAGGTATGCTGCTGCTGACTTCAAATAGCCTTATTTACTGCCTAAAACAAATATAACCCAGAGTCTGTGAAAACAAAGGAAAATATAACAATAACTTATTGCAGGCTCATGCTATTTTAGTCTATTTTCTACGCCTTTTTAACACACTTCAAATTGTGCTTAAGGGGGAATAAGATCCACCAAATATGATGACCAAAGAGATTTAAAATGTTCTGACTTCAAAGTCCATCAAAGTCCGATAAATACCAGCTAATGGAAAAACTTACATGAACACAAAAACCCATACACATTGTTACATGCTAACCATGCAGATTGTGAACACTATATGTTCACGACTTAAATGCATACACAAAGAACGACTGAGCCCCTACTCTCAAACACACCCACAGAGAAGAGACATACAACATCCCTCATCACCTGCGCTCTCATGCAGCTCCGCGGCTCTCTATCCATCTGCTGATGCACTCATCCATCCATCCATCAATCTGCTCCCACACTCATCTTACGTCCATTTATTTCCCTCTGCTTTCGGCCCAAAGTCTGTGCACTTACAAGTGCATCTGTCTGACTGACAAACAACCTATCCATCTATTAATGAGCCCATCCATTTATCAATCCAGTGCTTTCCACTTGTTTTGTCCACACCTAAATCACATTTTTCATCTCACTAGACCACCCTAGTTGTTAAAGGACACATCTGTATTTTGAGAAAAGTACAATCTTCAGTTTATTTTCTTCTACTTTCTGTGTACATTTACATGGGGGTGTTGTGAATTGAAAGGACTTATTGAGGCTCTATTATGCTTTTTGGGGTTCTCCCTTTCCTGTAGAGTGTTGTATAGGTTTTAGTGCATGTAAATGGTCTGCAAAGGCAAACATTTCTCTGCCTGAAACGCCTCCATTGAACTCCTTTGTTTACCTCCAACATAGTGAAAGCAGTATCACAGTAAAGGCACAAAATACTAATATGAACCTGGAAATGAGCCCAATATGTCCTCTTTCATACGGCTCTCTCTTGCGTAACGACTCATTCCCCTCGATAAATGAAAGCAACATAATATTTTCATTTTTCAAATAGATTTAATCTTTTCATTTCCTTTCTCTGCGCTAAAGAGCCAACCTGAGCCGATCTGATTGACGGGAAAAAAATACAGCGCTCAGCTTCTATAAAAAAACACTTCTAAGTGAATGTGCACACAAAAAGGAATATTTTAATATCCATAATGTTTTGTTATTCTGTTATAAATATTAAAATAACACATCTCTATATAACTATCATCATGCATCTTAATGGCTGATCTCAGGTTGAAAACTCTCACTAGTGAAACAAACAAGGAATATTTAAAGCACCCTGATGACTGCTTGGATGATACATTTTAAAAATCCCCCAGTAGCGTTTAGGAGGATTTAACATGTATGAAAGACACTTTTAAATGTTCCGAGTAAATGTTGGGAAGAGGACTCAAAGGACTGACATCCAAACTCTCAAGAGCGCTCAGCAGTCACAGCAGTCTCTAAACTTTCATAGCTTAACAAGATTTTCCATCTATTACATTTATAAATCATTAAAGATTTAGAAAAAGAATTATGAAGGATGAAATTCAAAAGGCATGTGATAAAAGTGTAGAAATGCTGATGTGTAACTTTGCAAAAACCGAATAAATG